AAGGGTGAAATACCAACCATAGCACCCCATAAAATATAAACAGGCTAAAAGAACTCCTGGGATGCTGATCCAAGGATTTGTAGACCATCAACTGAAGTGTGAGTATCCCAATCAAAGACTTATTTTTAGTGCAGTTAGAATGGCACAATATCCAGTTACTGCTAATTCCCAATAACTCCACGCTTGGATGCACAGGGTGTCACCTCCCCTCTCCCTTCCTGTGCTGCTCCTGCACCTAAACCATGTGGTTCCTTTACCAAGGTTCACTGAATATCTCATTCTGTAGGAATAATGATCCATGGGAAGGTACAGACAGACACAGAGATGCAGGGCTTAGGCTTTGGAGGCTCCTCGCCATTCCCATCGACTCACTGGAGTGATGTCACCACTGTGTTATCAAATTTGCTTTACAGGAGTCTCTAGAGAGAGACTTTTAAGTAAAACACAGTGCAAAAGCCACTAACGTTTTCATTTCTCTCAGCCTGAGTATTAGTCATGTTCTTATTTGGAAATTAAAATTCGGTGATGTAGAAAGAGGTGATTGATGTGTGTATGTTTTTGTTGGAGTGGAATAGAAGGAGAAATAGTTTTGTGTGAGTTAAACAAGAATAATAGGGGAAAATAACATTGACACTGCTTTTCTAATCATTAGGAAAAAACCCTTTAAGTGTAATGACACAGGGCTCACTGTGGTGTGTGAGTTTTTGACAGTGTGTCAATCAGAGCAGTACAGCAGTGCTGTTTCTGCATGATACAGTCACAGAAATTGGCTTTCTAAAGGACATGCAGACACCTGTCACCACCAATTTGGATCATTTACTCCTCATCTAATTTTCTATCATATTTTTTTGGTGGCTCTTAATAGTTCTAAATTAGCCCTCTTGCAGAGAGGGGCCTCTCCTAATTTCAGAACCAGCATAATCACGAAGCCTTTTGGGTTCTAAAAATGCACAGGGGTGAAAAAAATAAAAGCAAACCGTGGAAACCCTCCTTTGGCAAACAAAAGGCAGCAAAACAGAGCTCAGCTTTCAGAAAAAGCAGGGATCTCTGTCAAATCCCCATTGACCTGAGACTCACAGCCTCCTCCTGAGGGAAGGCTCCCTGTTCCAGGTGGGTTCCAAGTCCAGCAGCTCAGCTATTTCAGTTATTTGTAGTAAATAATGGGGACCAAGTGGGCTCATGTCACTGCCCTGCTTGGGTACATGTCTTGGCAATGGAACAAGCAGTGGAGCCATAAATGAGAAGGGATGTAAATACAAAAAGCAAAGGGCAAATATTCCAAGGCCCTCAGCAGTGGGAGGGTGAGCTGATGCATGTCATCTATGAAATATTTCTTTAAAACTTCAATTTCCAGGACTTGCCAGCAGTCACTCAGAAAAAGAAGTATCAAGTTTCATAAACTGCACACCCAGCTAGGTCCTAATAAAGGATAAAAGGCTGCAGCTCTTTTGTTTTGCTTATAATTGGATCTTCTTTGCTGTAAAAATTGTAGGCAAAACTTGGGGAAATTTTTCATTACCCTAGACAAAGTTGCATAATTGTTACTGTGAAAAGCCATATGGTTTTGATTAAAGCTTCCAAATGCCATTTACTGAGACAAACTACCCAGTCTTGAGGGCCTTTGGATCGTTTCAGATTGCTTAAGCTTTTATTAAACCCCACTTGAGGTTTGGGAAGGAGGTCATTTAAAACAATCCCCTCCCCAAAGTGAAAGGCTGGTGGGTTGACAGCTGCTGCTGGCACCTCCTGGGCTTTGCAGTGGTTTTGGGGAATAAGCATCTGTGTCAGACTGGCATCACTCACTGGTACCTGCATAAATTGTATCACTTAACATTAAGGCAGAGTTTTAACAGAGGCTCCAGAAAAATCTCATAATGCCAGAAAAAAACATTCAAGTCCCTATTAAGGGCTGGGTGTTGGGGTGTGTATTGCACTCCAGTGCATTTTGGCACCAGATGTCAGGTTTTAGTGCAAATATTAGCTAATTAAGCCTCTTTTGAGAGGCAGAGTTGAAGTGCTTGTCCTTAGAGAAGCACAAACTTTGTCAGCGAGAACTGAAGTGACTTTCCCAAAGTCACGCAGCTGCTTCTAAACTCACCCAACTCAAATTAAAAAATACACACAACTTTAGACTTATGGGGGTGTGTTCAGCTTGATTGATAGTGTGGGGAAGTTGTTTAAAAGGCATCACCCATTCTTGAAACAAGGTGTGAGCAACTGTTGTTCACAGTAACCTGTGTTCCTGTTCCACCTCCCTGGTGGATTCTCCTCTTTGCACTCAAATCATTACTAATCATGTCCTTTTGTGATGCTGGAGCTACTGGAGCTTGTACAACATTTTTCCATGTGCAGTGGAGTCATTGCTTTAGCTTTTTGTGCTCCCAGTAAGCTTTGGCAGGACGCTGACCTCCAGAATCGTGACTGTTAATATTTTCTTCCTCAGTGCTCCCCTTATCTGGTGGTTTGTGAGTCCCTTCGTTGAGGGGTTTTTATTGAAAAATAAGAACAAAAAAATTTGTGTTTTAATTCAAGGTTTTTGGGCTTGGGGACAAAGCCAAGTGGAACTTAATGCTGTTATTAGGGCAGACACACACAGCCAAACCAGTCACCCTCTAATTCAGTAGGTCAGTGCTGAGCATTAGTTTTTGTGCTTTTGCTGTCCCATTGATTTTTAATGTCAGAAGTACAGGGAATAATTTCTTACCTGCTCCTGGGGAGGGGTACAGAGGGACTAGACAGCTGTTTCCCTTGGAGGAAGATAACAAACACAGGGAAGGAAGAATTTAGAGTGGTGTTTCAGCATTAAAGCATCGAGGGAGGGGGGGTTGTCAGCAAGTAGGCTCAGCTTTTGTTCGGGTCCTGCCTGGCACAAAATTTCAGGGCAATATTCTGCACCCAGTTGAGCATAATTTTGTAGGAAGGGCTTTTCTGTGCTTTGCACAGCATGGGAAGGCAGAGGAGAACCTCTCCAACCCCCCCATCACTAATCTGTACACTTCATAACCGTTCAGCACTGAGCCTGTTCCTGATTTCCTGGCAAAGATTGCAAGGTCGTGTCTAAGTGAAGCTTCTTCCTAATAAAATCTTAATGATAATTGAGTTTAGTTCCAGTTATTATTTAGGTGTTGAGAAAATAAACCTGTGGGTTTCAGGGTGCACCAACATTAATCAACCTGGTGGCTTTGACTGAGGCTCCAACCCTTCTTATAATTATCTTAATCTTGTCTTACTCAGAGCCAGATTTGCAGCACATCCAGGAGGCTTTTCAGATCCAACAGGGACTTCCAAAGCTTGGTGCTGTGAGCAGTGGTGCTGGATGCTCTGCTTTATTTGCTGCCTCCATGGGATTTTGACCATTCTTCCAGCATTTCCTAGCTGTTCATCCAAGCAGAGATTCTTTTCCTGGTGGCAATGCTTTTCTTGTCAATACTGATGTAAAAAAATGTTTCCTAGTACCGTGTTTATTCCTCCAGGCATTATTTTGGCTTCAGGCTATTCCTCCTCCTGCTGCTGTTCTCAGAGAGGGTGGAATCCAGTCTTGTGTCTGTATGCAGTCAAAATATATTAAAATCTATGGACTGGCAGGTGGTCAGAGGAATGCTTTAGTGATCCCTGTAGACTGCAAAAAAGAAAATCCTTTTAAACTGATAGAATGTAGAAATTAAAAATCATATTTCTCTATTTTCATTAATAATGGGTTTCCTTCTCTTTTCCTTCTGTCCTAGGCCAAAAACAGACAGAAGGACAAGGAAAATCCCAAAGCAAAGTTATTCAGACTGTGATTTGAGACTGAGAAACTCCAGGGTTTGGACTAGTTTCTTTAACAAATAAGTCATTGCAGTGTAGAAGGCTTTGTAAATCCTCTCCAGTATTTATCCACTAAAATGCAAATTAAAATGCTGAAATAATATAATAATGATGTGACATACAGTGTAAGGGTCTGGCAGAACTGGACTGGAAATCTCACGGTGACCGGGGCAAATTGTTACTCACTATTTCCATTCTACTTTCCCTTTTCTCTGGGTTTTGTTCTGAATTTGACTTTTAGCAGGAAAGGTCCACAAAGGTTTCTTTCCTAAACAGGGAAATGAAGCGGTGACAATTTCTGATTTTGTTTATTTATTTATTTATTTATTTATTTTAAACCATGTGTGCAGAAAACCTTTTAAAGAGGGGATAAAAATCAAAGCTTAATTTTTCATCCTTGTAAACGTATAATGATGTTCCTACTAGTTCCTACTGATAAATATTTATCACCTCTGTGTTTCCTCTGGTTCCCAACTGCACTGCCAAGAGGTTTGTAATCGCCAAGCCAAGGCTCAGCTACACTGAAGACAAGAAAAAAAAATGAAAATTGAAATGCAGGGGACTGTTAAAGATCAAAGGTTGCCAAAGTGATTCCGTGTCTTGGTGCTCACAGAGTCACCTCCTCACTTCAGAGCAAGGTCCTCGGATTCAGCGTGCAGGGAGAGGAGAGGGAGTTGTGTTTTTGCAGCCCGTGGGCCCTGAGGAGAGAAAAAGAGAGAGGTGGAAGGAGGAATTTAATTAAAGAGCTGTGTGGGCAACGTGGAGCTGTTACGAGAGACTTCCTTGTGGGAGAGGAAGGGTCTCCACACATGGGTTGTGAGGGCATCAGTAACAAGGCTCCTAAAGGGGAGCAGGCTGGGTTCTAATGGAATTGGTTATTTAAGGCAGTAATTCTTCATGAGTTCATAAAACAAAGCTCTGCCAGCGTTCCAGGTGCTGCAGGTTTCTGTGGGTAAATCACCACCTTTTCCCCCTTGCCAGCCTGGGGGAGGCATTTGCTGATCCTTTTGCTGCTTCTGATGCTCCTCATCCTCCAGCTGCCCCGCGTGCCCCGCGGGTCCCACCAACCCCCCCTCCACGCTGATGTCCACTTTGTTTCCACGTCGTGCAGCAAAGTCCTGATGAAGATTTCCTGCCTGTCACCAGGAGAAACCATTAATGGCCCTCTGACTGAGTTCTTTCTCTCTTGGCAGACCTGGAGAACTTCAAGACCAGGACGAGGAGCACGGTGTCCGTGCGCCAGGGCCAGGGCATGGTGCTGCTGTGCGGGCCCCCGCCCCACTCGGGAGGTAAAGCACTTTCCTTCTCCTTCCTATCAGGGGTGTTTGTATTTCTTGTGTGCTCCAGGTTCTCAGTGCATTTATTCATATGTTGTTACAACTTTTGCTGCACTTAAAAATCTCAGGACAGTTTGCCATCATTGGTTTAAACACCAGGTGGATGTGGCACTTGGCGGCTTGGTTTAGTGGTAGCTTTGGCAGTGCTGGGTTAATGGTTGGACTCAGTGATCTTAAAGGTGTAAATGATTCCATGATTCTGTGTAGCAAGTGCTTTGGTGCTGTTTGCTTCACATAATGTGCTATAAATGTTTAGAAATTTCAGGCCAATTCTTTCAGTTTAGCACAAATCTCTTTTTAATGTGCCAGTCCGGTGTTTGTGGCTGATGTCCTGAACATGTGTGTTGCACTGTTACATTTATAGAGAAAAAAATGTGTTGGAGAGGGAGTCATTCCATCATCAATTCCTGCAGGATGCCATCTCAGGCATGGCCAGCGTGTGCCCGACAGGCACCACGTGTTGTGCCAGCAAGCACCATGATCAACAACCAGCCCTTGCAGCTGCCTCTTCCCTCAGGGGGTTGTTTGTTCCATCAAAAAAGTGGCCATCATTCCACGGATCTGTGTCCCTTTTTAAAGAAATCTGCCATCCTGCTTTGAAATCTGTCTGTGCTCATCAGCAGGATGGAGATTGCCCGGTGGACCATTTGCTGTTGGGCTGAGCTTATTGCTCAGACAGGAGGAGACAGGGGCTTAAGGAGCTGCTTTGCTCACATCTGGCCAGCTGACAGACCTACCCATGGATCTTGTTCAGCCAGGGGCCCTTTCCCAGTGAGCAGGACTAACCCCACTGGCTCCTGGGGACACCCATGGCCATGTGGTGCTGCCTCCCATTTCTCCACAGACAGGGAGGCTCCTGTGTCCTAGAGGGACACGGGGATGTCACGGACAACACAGAGATGAGGCAGGATCTGTGCATGTTTGTCTTTGTCTCTGCAGTTGTGAGAGGTTTCTGTTGTGCCACGAGAAATCTTTGCAGCCTGAGCACCTTGTGTGGGGATGTGGTGGCTGCTGATGGTGTGAGCAGCCAGGAGGGGATTGTTGATCAGGTGATTCAGGAGAAAGTTTTGGGCTGGGTTTATTTACTGATGGCACAACATGAATTCCAGAAAGGTGCTGGCATCATTTCCAGTTTGGGCTCAGTATGTGGGAAAGTGTCTTGCAGTGACCAGGAGGTGAGAGCTTTTGTGGTGCTCAGAGAGGCAGAAAACTCAAGGGTAATTATTTCCCTCATTCATTTGAGTGAGAGGTGACTTCCCACATGACCACCATCCATGACCTGCTCTGTTGCAGCTAGAAAGTTATCTCTAATTGTAGCCAGATCCACAATTAGTCTAAACTGATACTATTAAGTTTTGTAACTGAGCTGGGCTGGAATTGTGCCAGTTGTTGTTTTCTGGTTTGCATAGAAAGTGTTTCATGGAAACTCAAACCAGGTCCAGTTAATTCAAACCAAGACCCTGTTCTGTGGGAATTTATCTGCTCTGTGGCAATATTTTCTTTTGCTTTTCCTTCCTGCTGAGGTTAGAAACGAGGATGGGTTTTTTAAAAGTCACAACTGCTCATCTGCCAGTGTAACCAGAGCTCTTGGGTCTGTGCAGTCACTGCACAATCACCACAAGCAGCCCCTGTTCTCTCTCTGGGCACAGGGAGGTTCATCAGAGAGTATCAGGTGTCCCTGGAAGCAGCTGCTCATCGGAAAACCGCCGTGTTCCACGGGCAGCTCCATCCCCGGGGCCCCGGCAGTGTTTGCAAAGCAGAGCTGTAGAGATCAGTTCCTTCCAGTCCCCTGATATAACATTGCAAGTATTTAATGTTGTAGTGCAACAGGAAAAAAAAAAAAAAAAACCTTTCAGCCCGGGAGTGAAAAATAATCCCTCTCGTTGAAAGGGCGAGTTAAGGTAGAGAAAATGCAATTACTTATTTTAGAACTTGATTAGGGCAGCAGCCTGACTTCATCATCCTTGCAGAAAGGGCCTGCTGATGTTAATGACCAATGCTGAAGCATAGGACTGTCTGGGAAAATAAACAAAAAAAAACAAAACAAAAAACCACAAAAAAAAACCACCAAAAAAACAAAACAAAACAAAAAACCCACAAAAAAACCAAACAAACAAAAAAAAACAAAAACAAAAACCAACCAAACAAAAAAACCCCCACAAACCAAAACTTTTATAATATTATTGTTATTTTATTACTGTAGTTTCATGCCTGCATTGAAAATGAAATCTTATAAAAATATTTTGAAAAGCAAAATTGTTCAGTGTGAGAATTGCTGTTGCTTCATTGATGAGAGTGTTCACTGGAATAGCAGAAGCCTGGAAAAAACCTTCTGGCTGAGCACAAAGCTGAGGATATTCTTTTGGGTGTCAGGATTTGTGTGTGATGGGAAAGACTTCCAAAGTGTCTGAGGAGGGCCAGTGTCTCTTCCATTTTTAGGTGGGTCAAGTGACAATGCTTAGAGCCCCCCAGGGAAATTTGGTAGAAAAAGAGTAGTAAATGAGAAGGGAATAACTTCCTCTCATCCCCTGGTTGCCTTGGTCTTAAAAATTGTGGATTTTATTAAAAAGATGCTACATCCAGACCTTGAGCCTTTCAACTGCAGTTCACCATAAGACTGTGCTGCCTGGAAATACCCATTTCCAAGGAGCTGGCAGCTAAAAGTGAAGTTCTGTTGGCCTACAGACATGAGTTGTTGAGGGTTTCTTTGTGTTTTTAATTCTTAATGATGCCCAATAAAGAGCTTCCTATTGTTCAAATGTTACAAGAAATTCATCCTGAGAACGAGTCCAAATGATGGACAAGTATTTTTCTCAGCATCAACAAACAGGCTGCATGTGGCTTGCACAGAACAATTTGGGCATCTCCATGTATTGTCCTGATTTTTAGCGTAATATGAGTTGGAGATTCAGCATCTGAATCTCTGCTTCCCTCCCAGTCCCCCAAATTAGAAGTTTCAGTTCTTTTCCTTTTTTTCCTTTTTTTGTTGCACTAATGGACTTGCAGAAACCTACCTGGGCTGTTACTGTTTTTCTGAGGTAATTACCCTGCATGTAAAGGGTGTTCCCTCATTATTTCCACTGTTCCTTTAATCAAAAGCCTGATGATGGTTGTGTGTCAACCATTCTACCTGTGAAGCTCAACAGAAGAAATCATTTGAGAGTAAACATTGCTCTGGGAACATGGAATTGGAGCATGATGAGCATGTGGGTATTTAAATGGACAAGAAAAAACAGGCAAAAATCCTAAAATTACGAGTGTAGCTAAAATTTGGCTTTGGTTTTGATGCAGAACACAAGGGGCTTCATTTACAGCCACTGGCCACTTCCACAGCATTAACTGGGCAGTCCCCAGTAATTGAGCCCCAGTAATGGTTTTGGACCTGAAAGAACATCAGAAAGTTTCCATGACTTTTTATGGAGACTCATTAAGGAATCTCAGCATGTCTTAGAATTTGGATACCACAAACCAGTGCTCTACTGCTTTTTGTTTTCAAAGCCCTGCTAGATCAGCCATAGAGTCCCAGACTGGTTTGGGCTGGGAGGGACCTTAAGGACCACCCAGTTCCACCCCCTGCCATGGGCAGGGACACCTTCCACCAGCCCAGGGTGCTCCAAGCCCCGTCCAACCTGGCCTTGGACACTCCCAGGGATGGGGCAGCCACAGCTTCTCTGGGCACCCTGTGCCAGGGCCTGCCCAACCTCCCAGGGAAGGATTTATCCCCAATATCCCATCTATCCCTGCCCTCTTACAGTACTGTGTGGGTGTCACAAAAGCAGATTAGAGGGGATGAACCCCCTCCTTGGACCATCTGGAAGAGCAGATCAACTTGGGGGCATTGCCAGCCAAAACCAAACAAACCACAACCAAAGCAGCCTTTGATTTTTCCTAGGTGTTCCATTCTGTTGTATTTTTAAACCATTTTGATTAATTTAGAAACCACTAACCATTTCAAATGTAAAATAATGTTCAAGTTCAGCTGTTGGGGAAAATCTTTTCCTTCTGAGAGGAGCTTTGCAGGGGAAACAGGTTACCTTTCCTTGTTTGCTCTGTTCAGTGTTACTGATCAAATTTGGCGAGATAGGTTTCTTGTTGAGATAAACTTGATTGAAACAAACAAACAAAAAGCTCGGGGAAAACCAAAGCAAACACTCCCTTGTGTTTCTCAGGGCTCTGAATTGTGTTCCAAAGGGGATACGCCTGGGAAAAGTATTTGGAGGTCACCGTCCTTTTAACTTTTATCTCCAAATATTAAGACAAAATATTCTTTTTGTGCCAAATAGTTCTGTTCATTGAAGTTTGTGGGAACTGAGTAATTTAGCTGCCACTTTTACTAGATTTATTTGATAGTCAAGGCAGGGTTGTTAATATTTTAACAACTGCAGTTTTCAAGTTCTTCCTAACATCCCTGGCATTTCGTTTTGAGTCCAGAGACTAAAAAAAAAAATACAGTCCTGGAAAGTCTTTTCTGCCCTCTTGACAGGCTGGTAGCACCCCCATCCTCATGCAGAACAAATGAGTCTGTAAATCCTTCCCCCTCCCTTCTTCGGGAAGATAAATGGACTTGTCTTTTAGGATTTCTTTCGCTCCCCCCTCCTGTGGATTCCTCTTGGTTCATCTCTGGAAGATCTATACACGATGTTCTCACGACATTTGCCTTCCAGCCCTCGTGGGAAAACCCTGTGGAGATGGAGATCTCTGAGTGCTGGGAGAAGCGGTGAATGTACACAGAGAACTGGCAAAAATGAGCTCTCAGTTACTGGATTATTTGAGTTCTCTGTTCCTTTGCATTCCCTAGAGGTGTGTCCTGCTCTGGGATCTCTCTGTCCTTAGCTCCTACCACCACTCCCCACATCTGGAGCGTATTTGTTCTCACTCCTATTTTATCTCAGTAATCTGGGCAAGGAATAAATCAACTGATTGCTTTTTTTTAGATAACAAAGTGCTTAGAT